TTAGTTTTTTTCTAAAAATATCAATACAATTTTATTTGTTGGTTAAAAAAGCTTGTAACTTTTATACAAGGCTCCTACTATATTGTTAAAATGGCATTTGAAAAATATTAAAAATCCTTAGTCACAGTTTTTTTTATAAGCATTTAATGTTCAAAAATTGACAAAATATGGAAAAATCACGAAAATTATCAAATTATTTTGAGTTAAGAATTCATAAAAATTTTTCTTTTTAAATCTAAGGTTTTAAAATGTAATACAAGATTTCTTATAAGATTATCTACCTTTATCAAAAAAAAAATGTCTATAAGTTGTTACAATATCAGTTGAAAAATATTAAAAATACATAGGCACAATTTTTTTTCATAAGCATTTAAAGATCAAATTTTGACAAAATGTATCAAATTTAAAATTGAATAATTATTTTGTAGTTAAAAATGTATAAAATGTTCAACTTTTATATCTAAGGATTGAAAATTTAAAACAAGATTCCATGTAAGTATACATAATTAGTTATAGTTATAGTAATAGTATAGTTAATTTTGTTACCAAAAAATCTAAAAAATATATGAACGCAGTTATTTTTTACAAACATTTTAAATTCAAATTTGGACGAAATTACATATTAAAAAACATAGAATAACTATTTTAGTTATTTTGTAGTGATTGTATAATATTATTCGTGGGTACTTGAAACTTCTAAAGTGTACTATTATATATCTATGATAGTATCAGGGTTTGTTGTTGATGTATAACGCGTTATAAGTACCTTATGGATATTGTGATATGATTAATTTGGAATTTATTATAGGTCAATTTTTATTTAATAGCATAGATATTTATATAATATATCTTATACCTAGACTGACATACCGTCTCCGTTCAGAATCGTTTTTCTTATACAATGATATTATATCATTGAATTCAAATTTAATACCATCCATTATACAGTGACCCACTTGTAACATACAGTACAGCAGAGCACCTTTTTAAGTTTTAACTACAAAATAATTTGCAAATTCTCTTGACTTTTAAAGATTTTGAAGAATTTTATCAATAATTTAACTTAAAATATCATAAAAATGTAATATAGGTATACATATAATTATAGCAATAATGATTGTGTGTATGTGTGGGTGAGTGTCGGCTGGAGTTGCATTTGTTATTCGTACAATTAATAAAATATTATGCTCACGGCGACGGCCATGGTGCGAAGTGCGAACAATGTGTATAGGTAAAATATAGGTAATTGGTAATACTTTTGAATTTTGATTATAATTTATTCTTAGGCCCTTAGCTGAAGAAACCGAAGCTACTAAAAATAAATATAAACAAGATATATTACTATATACCTAACCAATAGAAATATTACTATATATAAATATATTACTAGTTTTACTATAGGTGTCTTATTGTCTCAGATTTTTAGAAAATACCTTAGTGTACAGTGTACACAGGTCACAGACCCAAAAAATAAAAACCCATAAATCATTGTCAATACATACATCGATTTGCTCAGAACCCAAAATATGAAATTGATAATAAATCAAATACGCATATTATATATTAATAAATAATAATAAATTAATTTAATTTTTATTTCACTAATTGAAATGATGATGTCTCAAAAATGCTGCAAGCTTGTGTAGAAGATACAACGTTCTATACACTATACCTAGTTTAACTTGTAAAAATTAGAATATAATATACAATATATAAATAAAACTAATCATAAAAATATTTAAATAAATATATACAATCCAAAACAAAAATGTCTAATAATAACTGCTGGTTATTGTAAGATAATATCACAATATATAGGCATTATTTCAATAGGTAAAAATTTCATTTTTATACTAATATATTTATTGTAACTGTTAAAATTATTAAAAATATTGATGTTAATACCAAATTGATTACCTACCTTACCTATCTAGTATCTACACATATACCAATACTAATATTAAGAGGATCACTTTTCCCAAATTCACATATTTTGATACAATGATACCTAATCCATTTCTAATTTCTGTAGAATACGGTGTGTTATCTTTCTATTTGTGATATGGTTTAAAGAATACAAAATTTGGATTATTCTTAATAAAAAAAAAAAGTGGGTAAGTGGATGTCGCTCTGCTGTACAGTATGTTACAAGTGGGTCACTGTATAATGGATGCTATTAAATTTGAATTCAATGATACAATATCATTGTATAAGAAAAACGATTCTGAGCAAAGACGGTATGTCAGTCTAGGTTTAAGACAAATTATATACATATCTATGGTATTAAAAAAAATTGACCTATAATAAATTCCAAATTAATCATATCATATCACATTATCACAATATCCATTAGGTACTTATAACACGTTATACATCAACATCAATAACAAACCCTGATACTATCATAGATAAATAATAGTACACTTTAGAAGTTTCAAGTAGGTACCCACGAATAATATTATATAATCACAACAAAATAACTAGGTATTTTAATATGTAATTTCGTTAAAATTTTAACATAAAATGACTATAAAAATAAACTGTGATTGTATATTTTTTAGATTTTTTGGTAAGAGAATTAACTACTTATGTGGAATCTTGTTTTTAATTTTCAATCCTTAGCTATAAAAACTGAACATTTTATAATTTATTCATTACGATGATTAATAATTTTCGAGATTTGAAAAATTCTGTCAAAATTCGATGTTTAAATGCTTATAAAAAAAATTGTGGCTATGTATTTATAATATTTTTCAACTGATATTGTAACAATATATCAGGAGCCTTGTATTACATTTTTACACTTTTTGGCGCAACAGATAAAACTTTATTGATATTCATAGAAAAAAAAAACTAAAAAAAAAATTGAAAGCTGTAAATGTCCGTAAACAGCTCAAAAGAGTCAAAATATTTTCGAAATCGTATGGTGTATAGGAAATGCTAATATAAACATTCAGTGAAATTTTCATGTATCTATAGTTATTCGTTTATGAATAACAACCAAATAAGGAAATCGCTACATGAGAAATCGAGTGAACATCCAATGTTGTAAAAATTTGAATTTCAAACGCTCATAAAAATTTAATTTGACTGTCCAGTAGAGATTTTTTTATTGATAAAGGTAGACAAACTTATGAGTAACCTTATATTACATTTTCAAATCTTAGTTTTAAAAAGAAAAATTTTTACGAATTCTTAACTCAAAATAATTTGCTAATTTTCGTGATTTTTCCATATTTTGTCAATTTTTGAACTTTAAATGCTTATAAAAAAAAATTGTGACTAAGGATTTTTAATATTTTTTATCTGCCTTTGAAACAATATACTAGGAGCCTTTTATTATAATTTCAAGTATTTTTACTCAACAAATAAAATTTTATTGATATTTCTAAAAAAAAAACTAAAAAAAAATGAAAAATGAAAATGTCCCTAAACAGTTCAAAATAAATCAAAATATTTTGAAAATTTTATCGTGTATAGAAAATGCAAATATAAACAACCAGTGAAAACTTCATGTATATACGGTCATTTGTTTTAAAATAACACCAAAAACCAAATTCAATTTTCTGAAAAATCGATTTTGAGTAAATATTTCCGTTCTTCCTTAATTTTTCTTTTGTTTTTCTTGGCGCTTTTGAAATATACTGGGTATTTTAAACTTTGACCTCCCCAATGCACCAACGATATTCACTTTCCAATCGAACAAGATACTGAAGTTGAAAATCAAAGAATTATTTCGACTACTTATCGTGTACACACACAAAAAAAATAAAAAAACACACATCATTGTAAAATCAATACATTCATCGTTTCACTCAGAATCTAATATTTCGTTTTATTATTTGTCATGTTCACCACTAATACATTATAAGCTAGGACCATTTTTGTATCTTTATTTAATATTTTTATTTTATTGAACTAATACACTAATACAAATTTTTTGCTAATTTAATTCAAAATTTTTATATTTGTAATACCATCGTAGCATAGAAAAATATGATCATAGATCAATTTATAATACCTGAGGTTTTAATAGTTTAAATATCTACTATTTATTGTTAAGGGGCCTGCACGTGACCTATTTTTTTGCTGAAAAACATGCCTTACAGGAAAAACTCTCATGCCTCGTAGAGTGTTCCGATTTCAATCATTTTTTTTTTTTTTTGAAAGAGAAATACTTCTTACAGCGCGCATTGGACTTGGATTTTTAAAATTCTATTTCTAAACTATACAATACGATTTTGAATATGACCAATTTTTCACAAGATTTTGTTACTTTTATTATGTTTGTTTTAAGCGACGAAATAAAAATCTAAGTCCGATGGGCACTGTAAAAAATTATACTCTTTCTAAAGAGAAAAAAAATTAATCAAATCAGACCACTCTACGATGCCTGAGGGCTGAAATTTTTTTCCCGTAAAGTATGTTTTGAGCAAAAAATCATGCATTTTATTTTTGGTCGGTGGTGCCGTGGACAATACGTGTGCACATGCAGTGCGTTTGTAGATAGCCCGGTACAGCATACAATCACTCACACTAATCATTATTGACAACTAACACAAATGCCATTGGCGGCGGAAACGAAATTGCATATTGCCTAAATATTGCGCCTTATTAAGACACACGAGCAGGCCCCTTAAGGCAGTCTACTTGAGAGCGCTAGTATCGTTTTTTTAAAATTCCGGATTTTTACGGTCCACGATATTATGGTCCGCACATTTTTATTTTCCGGATTTTTACGGTCCGGGATATAACGGCCCGTACATTTTAACTTTCTGGATTTTTACGGTCCGGGATATAACGGTCCATACATTTTTATTTTCCGGATTTTTACGGTCCGGGAATATACGGTTTACAGCTTTCCGGATTTTTACGGTCCGTGATATTACGGTCCGAATATTTACATTCCGGAATCGTACGGTCCGTTCAATTATTTTCCGGGATTTTACATGCGTCCGATATACAATGAAAAGATGGATAAAAAGGTAACAACCAGTATCCTATGGACAGATACGTTTGTTGATAAACTCCGTAAGGAGAATAACTAGTGGGGTAATTAAAGTGTTAAAATTGGAAATAAATTCTGATAAAAAATTTGAGACGGATTCCATGGAAGAGGTTACCGTTTTGGTCGCTGCAGCATAGGATTTCTTTGAAAGCTGCCGAGAATGATCTCCTGGGACCTCGTTTGACGAAACCTTTGGAGGTGATTGTACATTTGTACTGTTGTTAGAGCGGAGTGCTGGTTTTCTTGTTTTTGGACAAAGCGAACTTTTTATACGACGGGCAAGCCTTGAAGTTGGCAGTGTGATCGCCAGTGCATTTTGCCGGCAGATCACGTGGCTTGACGCATTCTTCAGTGAGATGATCCTGGGCCACATTTCACGCAGCGAGGAGGGTGACCACAATATTTCAACGTATGCCCATAAGTGTGATTGGCACCGCTTGCATTGAGGGTAACCTCGAGCTTTTCTTGGTCTTGGTTTTTCAACGATGATTTTAAAATTAAACAAATTTGAGACATTAAATGTATTTCTATTAAAATTCATTGTTCTCAAGTTCAATAGCGAAAAGAGATAGTGGCAAGTTATTAGCCCTATTAATAAAATTGGAGACACTTACTATTTCTAGAAACCCAGTACAGATAGACAGGGGCGTACTCAGGAATTTTCAATGGGGGGGGGGGGGGGGGGGTTGAACATTTTGTTTTTTATCACGGGGACTTTGTCACCTTCTTTTTACAAATATTAAATATAAACATGGTAATGTACCTACTCTACAGAAAATAAATTTCAAAAATGAAAAATGTTTATTTAAAGAACAATATTCCGATTCCGATTGATTAACGTGTTCAAGTTTTCTTTTAAGATTATTGTAGGGTTCAATGTACTTAGAACTTCGAGGCACACTAGTAAAAAATGTTATTATTTTATTTTTATTTTTATTTTTTGACTTTAAGCGTTTATGGAAAAAGAATAAATACTTAAATTTTAATACTATCATTAATATTTTTCAAAAGTATATTAAATTACTATACATTTTAATAATTAATCTGTGTGAAATAGTAGAAGTAATTTTAGTATATACCTAATTTAGAAAAAACAATTAATAATTTTGATTAAGGGGGCCTTGACAGTTTTACATTAAATTTAGGGAGCCTCACGACAAAAAAAATTGAGAAATACTGTACTAGATTATAGTGTAAAATATCTAAATATAATAAATATAACTAGCTGTGACGGTAAAAGATCATGTTTTTAATGTTGCATTTCAATTTGAAAACTACATATACATTTTTCACTGTTTATTTTTCTAACATAATTTATATTTATTGAAGAAATATATAAACAAATTTTTTGACAAAGGTTGGTTGCTCAATACACAGTCAAATATTAACCAAATATATCATAACGCATTATGTCAAAACAAGAATGATATTCACTTTTAAAAGAAAAAATGAGCAAGGTGCTAAAAACAAGAAAACACCAAAAAAACTAAACAATTTTTCAAAATTAGTTTGAAGTTTATAAGATAACTATTATTGAATAATATTATAATATAAATAATATACCTAATCATAAAATAAAATATGCAAAATATTTTAAACATGTTTTTAGTTTTTTATGAGCACTAGAAAATAATACTCCACTCTACCAGACTACTATTAGAATTAGGAGTAGAATCATAATAGTTTTAATTTAATTTAAAGATTTTAAGAAGGATGCAAATATCCAAAGAAGTGACTAAATTATACATAATATTTTTTTCTAATTGATGTCTACTCGATAAAAATATTGCCAATGAATGAAATGCAAATGTAATGTATAATTACAGGCTCCAAATTTATTATACCAACTCAATTAAAAAAAAAACTTTTTATGATTCAATGTTTTTGTAAATACTGACTTCAATTTTAAAAAATATTAGCATTTTAATTCTGAAATTTTAAGACATTTTGCATTTAACAGAATGAATATACAGGCCTTCGTAGGACAAGAAGCGCGCTCTGGTGACTATAGAACTGTGGTAATATTTTCAATCAAGAGTGTATACGTATAGGGGTCCAGAGTGACGACAACTTATCAATACACCTTGTATGTTTGATTTAAATTTTATCTGGTTATCATAATACAGTTCTTAACAGATAATGCTTGTAATCGTTGTATAATGCATGTTGATATAAAATTGAAAATAATTATATTTGTTTATTTTTTCCCTTCTTAAAAATTTTTTTTTATAAAATTGCTCCTGTGAATTATATTATGTATAAACAAGAACGCACAAAAGTGCATCGGTTAGTAAGGTCATGGGAGGGGTTCAAATCCCACGAACCCCCCCTTGAGTACGCCCCTGCAGATAGAGCCGTTTCAATCTCTACTAAAGCTGTGGAATGGTGAATATTGCGAATGACTGCTTTAATTGGGCGCAAATGACGCGGACGAAAAGTGCGGAAAGAAAAATCCTACATGTTTACTTTTTTTATAGGTATCAGAAAAAAGATGAGATTCCCAATATTATAATATTTAGAAAAATTTATTTTTATCAGAAATCTTTTATAAATTGTATAGGTGCTATTGATGAAGTGGAGAAATCATTATTAAATATTAAAAAGGTAATTTTTATTAATTTATCGTAAATTAATGATTTCTCCACTTCATCAATAGCACCTATACAATTTATAAAACATTTCTGATAAAAATAATAATGAATAAGAAATTTTTCTAGGGATTATAATATTGTTATAATTGACCAACTACTTGTCTTATTGTTATTTAAAGAATAATTATCTAAGATATATGAAATGTTTAAGTTTTTATTGTAGGTGTAGCTAACGTTTAGATCCCTGATCCATGAAAAACTCATTTTAATAACATTGTGTGTATAAACAATAAAAGTTTTCATTACATTGACATTGATAATATCGTGTTATAGGTATTCCTTAAACTGTATTTAACTCGCTTTTTCACCTTACATAAAAGTGCTATTGGCAATTGATTATTGACTATTGTTTTATACTTATAAAGACGTGATACAAAAAATGACATAACAATCATAATAATTTTATTCAAACATATTTTCCAAGTTGTATACTTACTAGAGAAACTTTAAAATGTAGCCTGTAGGCTGTAACCCAATACTATACAGTCTATACTTGTATCGTAACATGGTAATTAGAGATATGAATAGAATTTATTGTAGTTTATGGTAACATAGTTGTCAGATTTCGATGTTTGTTTTAGTTTTAGGTTTAGAATGTTTAGATTATCCTTGACCAAAATCTTGCTACTTCGATAACATTTTGATTTGCATGCAGGAGATCTTCTTTCGTACATGAAGATGGGCGCTTTGGCAGTTCAGTAGGTGTTCCATGTTTTATTCCATACCACACTCGCATTTTGTTGAGATGTCTTGTGGGATGCCCCATTTCTTTAGGTTGTTTCTAGATCTGCCTACTCTGAGTCTATTAAGGGATCTCCAGGTTGGCCAGTCTAATTCGTATCCTGCTGGCAGAAGTTTCACTGGTTCGGACTCCATCAGTTTATTATTTTCCTTGGAGAGAGATAGTTTCCACCTTTCTCTTCGTACTTCTTCAGGGTGTTTATTTAGAAGTTTTGTCGTTTTTAGAAAACTCTTTCTGGATTTAAGTCTGAAATTGTATTTACATGATATGACAATATAATAAAATACATTATATCTATATAGTATATACTTATATAGAAATATGTATAGAAATGTAAAAGATATTATAAGAAAAATACAGGTTATCATTTATCATTAAATGTTAATATTATAATTTCTCAACAAATCCAATAAAATTAAATAAAATTTTTTTTTGTTATAACCTATAGCCACGGCTCCCCTTTGAGGACTCAGAATTTGGCACCCCGGGGCAATTTCCCCCCTTCGCTCCCATAAAAATCTAAATACGCAACTGACTATATAGGTAACTTATTTTACCATGACCTGTGTCTTAGAAGTTATAAGTCTGTGTGTGTGTGTTTGTCATCACTTTTTGGGGCTGTAAAATTGTTTGTGTTTAAACTTTGACGGTGCCATAGTTTTTTTTTATTCAGAATTTAAAGTTTAAATGTTGACAAAATTCATCAAAATCAAAAAATGTTGCAAAATTATTTTGTGGTTAAAAATGTATGAAATATTCAATTTTTAAATTATAAACCTAACCTAATCAAAGCCTTTAACAATTAATACAAAGTTTTTCATAAATACCACGGACTAAGATATCTTAGTCCGTGATAAGTACTAAAGTACATGAATCATAGACCTTAATACCTTATAGATTACACTTATACAGTGGCGTATTTTGAAATTTTTTGTGGGGGGGGGTCTAAATATTAGGTACCTTTTTTTTTTTTTTTTTTTTTTTTTTCGTTTTTGAACCGACGACGTCGCGGCCCGCGGGAATTGCTTGCGCATTACTTCCGCGACGCCGCCATCGTTTATTTGACAACAAATAATTTATACATAAAAGGGGGGTAGACGGGACAATGCCCCGACTTACCCCCCGGGCATGGTCCTAAGTTATACATTAAATACATTACAATACGTTACATAATAAACATAATATACATTTCTTGGCATGTTGGTTCACGTTTTGTGGTTGACCTGGGTTTCTCGGGCCGACCGGAGTCAGTCACCCTCGATTTCGCGTGCGGTCCGTATTGGCGGGCCGACCGGAGTCCGCCGCCCTTGAAGCCTCGTTCTCTCCGGTTGTCCAGCGATGCCGTGATCGTCGTCCCTCCCGTGGTGTCACAGGTGGGGGATGAAGAACGGTGGTCGGTGACACCTCCGACGTGTCGCTGTTGCGACTGCGGAGGGCGTCTTCGGTCCGTTCTTCATCGCTGATCCTCCCGTTCGTCTTCCTCCTTCGAGGCCATGATGCTTTCGACCATGCTGGTGAATTCTCGACGGTTTGATTTCGCCTGGTCTAGAATCCTAGATCGCGCCACCGGTTCGTCTGGTACTTCGTCGGGGCGGGGGCCACAGAGAATGTCCTCGACGTCGCCGGCATGCGGGGATCGGCGGAGTAGCCTGACCATGGTAGAGCGCTCGTCTTGCCAAATATTAGGTACCTACAAGTTTATAATATAAAAAAAAAACACATACGAGTTACGATGTAATAATTATATTATATTATATTTTTTTCTGGGGGGGGTCCAGACCCGGGGACCCCCCCCGTAAATACGCCACTGCACTTATATAAGGTATATGCACAGATTTCTAAATATTAATATAGAAGTCTGTGGGTCTATGAAATTAATTCTAAACCGTGATTCACGGTCCGTGAACACCACGATTAAAGATAGATACTATCTTTAATCGTGGTGAACACATAGAGGAAATTCTGGAGCGGCAAACGTTGCAAACGTTTGATAACGGAGAAATTCGGAACGTCCGGTTGCTAAACGGTTGCTGTAAACGTTTGCAAACATTGTAAACGCCCTAATCCAGCGTTTGGTCTGTTTCGTTCTAGTAACCATAACCGTGGTTGCCTTTGTTTATACTTTTGCCGATCGTTATCACTATTACT